CCCCGACGAGTTTACCCCTCTCTGAAAAAAGGGGCGGTGCCACACTGCCATGGTCATCGGACTGTTCGGTGACCTAAACTTGCTCTAAATCAATTTCCACCACTTCAAGCTTGTAGAACTACTTGTTAGCTTTCCAAAAAGTCCTAGATCATCGAAATTGGAGTTTAGAGCTAGGAGTTATGCCTAAAATATGAAAGGGTGCTACTGCTGTTTTTGGCACCGCCCTAGGGTGGCGGTGCCCACTTTCTGGCCACCGGAAAGGGTGGTGCCACCCTCTATAATGGTTGTGATTTGGCTACGAGTTAGGTTGCAACTTCTGACCTCTGAACAACCAAAACCTTGCCCTTTTCTTCTCTTTTTCAACTCTGAATTCACCAAGTTGATCCAAATCAACTCCAACACCTTCTTCTTTTCAAATATGCCAACACCACCAAGTGTTCACCATCTTGTGCATGTGTGTTAGCTTTTCACAAATATTTTCCAAAGGATTAGTCACTCAATTCACCACGCCACTCAATCCTAGCAACGATGCAAAGTTAGATCACTCGAGTGGCACTAGATGACCGATATGCAAATAAGTTTGTCCCTCTTGATAGTACGGCCATCTATCATAAACTCGGTCATAAACTTCTCTACACACATATAACCGGTGAAATAAAATACCCTGTAGGTTATATCTTTGCCTTGCCCATCCCGTTCCATCTCCTCCAATGTTGATGCAACACATGCACCAACCATATCACGAATGATATGATCCACTTCATATCATCACATAACCTTGTTGGTTCATTGATCTTGACCTCACTTGCTTTTCATTGTTGCATTTGTCCATCGGCGTCAAGTCTTGCTCAAGCTTCACCGCCACGCGGTCCATTGCTCCAAAGCCTCCAACTTGCCCTTCACGCTTGCAACCGGTCTATCAAGCCAAGCCTTGTCTTCATCTTCTCTACCTTGGCAGAGGTGGTGCCAGGGGTATTCCTATGTATTCCATAGAATACCCAAGATTTTGGTGAGAAAACAAATATATATAACAGTATATACATGTACCGCCTATAATTTAATTCGACAAAACACACGAATCAATCAGCGGCCCAGTAGCCTGCAAGAAACAGCCCAAACAGCCTTTGCATAACTTGCTTCAGCACCTCGTGACTTGAGTATTGCATGCGCACTGGCGGAGCCACGTTATGGCCATAGAGGGCTTTGGCCCCCCCTTGCCACACAAAAAAGAAATGAAGATCTATGCTGCTGTGCAGCGTATCTGTGTTGTTGTGCAAGTCTGGATGGCTAGGCTAGCTAATTCAGCCCACAAGGCATAGGCGATGGGCCACCGGCCACATGCAAGCCAGCCCATTATGCACGCAGGAGCCACATGACTGGTGGCACCTGGGACCTGGCATTTCTCAACATGCAAAGCAAAGGGGAAGAAAATAATCCACATCCACCGAGTGGCCAAGACAGCAGGTGGAGGCTCACAGACGACGATAAGGCGACGAGCCGGAAGCTAGAGGCCGGAGCTGTCGATGCCTCGCGGCGGCCTTCCTAGTTGACTCGCCGACTCATCATCAGCCCGGGCCGGCGGGCGGTGACGCCCCCATGCCCACGCTCGTTCGGCTCTGTTTCATAGACCATGTAGTTTAGAACCAAAACTTATTTCTATGGAACTTCTCTATATATTGTCTCAGATTTGACAAATGTCCCCCCTATATTAGGCTTCACGCTCCGCCACTGTGCATGCGTACATATGACTCCACCTCATGACTCCCGTCCCAAGCCCACGGCGGCAGCGCATCTGCATCCGAAAGTTGCTGCTGCACCGAGACAACGGCGCCTGGTGGCCAACAGAGCATCGCATACTGCAGCGTCCGACTGTCGTTGGTGGCGAGCGTTGAAGCCTTTAAGGCTCCAGCGAGATCCATTCTCTAGACAAGGCCTCCAGGCACCACCGCACTCGGTAAAAAATTCAGCTTGTCCTCTAATTTAGAACGAATCACAATCTTAATTGATAAAATTGAGAGCGAAACACTACGTGTTTGCTAAAATGTTTTTGGCAATTCTTGTAAAAAGATGAGAATCTTGTATAGCTCAGGCCGACGAACTAATTGATAAAATGTTACGGTGTTAGTACACTTTGATTATTGTTATTGACCTATGGTCCAATATTTGTATATTTCTATTATATTTTTTTACATGGAATACCCTACTATAAAATTTTGGCTCCGCCACTGCACCTTGGTCACATGACTCAATGTCATGTCTCATATGCAATGAGCTCCTTCATCATATGCGTGAGCTTTGCAACATCTCCGAGCCATTTTCACCTCTATGGCATATGTTGCTCACACACATGTATTTGTGGACTAATCACCTGTGTATCTTACATTAAACATAATTAGTACACCTATGTTGTCACTCAATTACGACCTTTCACTCGGGGAGGGTCCGGTCCTCCCGGTATCAGAGTCCGGTCACTGTTTTCGCCTTCTTTTCATCTCCAACTTCACCATCCTTGCTCCCAAGTGCTAATCACCAACTGTATCGCCAATGTGCGCGTGTGTTAGCATTTTTCATAAGCATTTTAAAGGGTGTTAGCACTCACTAGAATCTAAATGCATATACAATGAGTTAGAACATCTAGTGGCACTTTGATAACCGCATCTGATTGTCGTATTACATATTTTTTTTGTTTACTCATAGTCTACTATGGATTATCTTGGTCAATTCTGGGTATAATATAATACAAAATGATGATTTGAATAAATAATAACCATAATTACTAATAATAGAACACCAAGAATAGGAACAAATATAATACCAATAATAACTCCCAATAGAACACCAAAAATATATTATATTTTTAGAAAAAATATGGTATCAGTTTTGTACTTTTTATTTAAAATGAATCATTTCCTATTTTTTTGGAAATAGACCAATTTTATTGTTTTTTATAAAATACAAAACAACCTTTGAAGCCAACTAGATGAATAGATTTATCCATATTGATATTTCAGTTATCGAAGTTTTTTATTTTAATATTGTATGAGCAAAAATAAAATTGATGAATAGTATTTTTCAACTAAAATCGATGAATAGTTCGATGCTAAAAATGTACGGAGTACTCCCTCCATTACAAATTATAAGTTAATTTGACTTTTTCGCTACATCTATTTCTGTTATGTCTCTTGATATAATTTGGTACGGTGGAAGTACTTTTTATTTAGGAGGACCGTGATTAGCAGGTTTAGACGAATGCCTCACAGAGTAGGCCCATATTAGACTGTTTTTTTAGTGGAGCCCATATTAGACTGTTGCCCCCGGCTTGTTTCAATTGTCGTATTTGAGTCAGGATGGACCTCAACTCCGGAATTCCCGCTTACGATTCGAGGCCCACATGAGAGCCATGGCACTCCTGTTTCTCACCATTCCGATAGAGATTTGAAAACATGGTTTGCAAAAAAAAAATTCACATTACCTCCTTCAACTTTCATGAAAATCCGTTTTTCGTCCTTGAACTCTAAAACCAAGCAAAGCACCTTTCTCAACTTTTAAAACCATTCATTTTAGCCCCCTGACCCTGTTATAAGCAGTTTTGAAGACGACTTTGTCTTTTTCTTTTTTTATTTATTTTGGCTAAATCTTTAAAAACTTATAGTAAATCATAGAAAATTTATAAAATGGAAAAATCCAGTTTTGTTGGACTCCACATAAGTAGATCTACACAGTGAACATATAATATAGTATGCTTTAGTATAAAGTTATTGTTGTTACTTTAAATCTATGCTTTTATGTAATTAATTGGAATAATTTATAGCTGCAGTTTCTAGGGTACAATTGTGATGAAATTTTTATGGTGGGTTAATTATTGTATGGTTTAACTGTAGTAAAAATTTTATACTCATTCGATCATGTATAGCTAAGTTATAGATTTATTTATATTTAACAAGCATAAACCTAAATAAAATCTATAACTAAGTTATCCAATGACTATAAAATTTTTATTACAGTTCAATCATACAATAATTAGCTTACCATAAAAATTTCATCACAATTGGACCATACAAACTGCAGTTATGAATTATTCTAATTAATTACATAAAAACATAGATCTGAAGCATACCATATTATATATTTTCTGTGTAGATCTACTCATATGAAATCCAACAAAATTGGATTTTCTATTTTATGATTTTTCTGTGATTTACTATGATTTTTTAAAGATTCAGTCAAAATAAATAAAAAAGAAAAAAACAAAACCGCCTTCAAAACTGCTTATAACAGGGTCAGGGAAGTAAGATGTACGGTTTTAAAAGTTGAATGAGGTATTTTGCCCGGTTTTAAAGTTTAGGGAGGAAAATTGGACTTTTGCGAAAATTGAGGGAGGTAATGTGGACTTTTTCCAACTTGCAATGCACATACACTTTCATATCCATTGAGTATTTCACTATTTTCAAACTCCATTGTCCTTCGCCATATCGATCTGCCAAACCATGAAGAAAAGTAACTAAAAATGTCGATGCTCATGTAAGTGTGACGAGATGCTAAATCCTATATGTACATACACACTATGCACGCTTCAAAACACTACCGAAAACAGTGACTTTATCGTGTGCCACAGGCACTCGGCAAAGACAAAAAAACACTCGGCAAACAGCTATTTGCCGAGTGTTTTTATCGCGCACTTGATAAAAAAAGTGATTTGCTGAGTGTTTTTCCAAAATAAACTCAGCAAAGGATTATTGTATGCCGAGAGTTTTTGTAATTACACTCGGTAAACCTATTTTTCAAAGAAAAAAAATTCTTAGCATACTGTTACTGTTTGCCGAGTATTTTTTAAAATTACACTCGGTAAACCTATTTTTCAAAGGAAAAAAATATTTTTTTTCTCAGCATATACTACTGTTCCAGCTGACGTGCGCATGCCAAGCTCTGTCTGCCAAATAATCCTCCGAAAACACAAGCAGGAGGCGCCGAAAGGGATCTAACCTCTCAAGGGACGATGCCTACCCATCTAAAGCTCCCATTTGGCACCAAGTTTGTCGGATCCAAATGCCAATTTCTCTCATGAGCAGAGGCACCAGCTGCACCGGCAGAAGCTGGGGCAGGAGCAGCTGCAGCAGCTGCCGCATCGCCACCACGGGCACCGACAGCACCAGGAGCAATCGAACCAGCAACAGCCGCAGCAACAGCACCCGGTGTCGCTCCTCCGCCGCTCCTCCTCCGTCGTCATCTCCATGAAGGCTGACACGGGGGGCTCGAGCTGCGGCGGCGGCTGCTGCTCGCGCTCCTTCTCCAGTGGCTGGTACAGCGCGCTGTTGACGACGTCCTTCTTCCTCGGCGACGTCTCCGCCAGTCTGCATGCAGGTGATTGCTTAATTTGCACGGTCGTTGCCGACAAGACAAGATCAAGAACGGGCATCACGGTGCAGTGCAGTACATTGGGACGGCAGCTTGGAGTCCGCCGCCTCCGCCATGGCCTCGTAGTAGTAGAAGTCGAAGTGCGACCTGCTGCCGGGGTACAGGTCGCTGGCGCCCTGGATGCTGAAGAGCGACTCGTTGGACGCCATGCTCCACACGGCCTGCGACACCGACGTCCTGTGCTGGAACATGTACTGAAGTCTGGACTGCCCAGAGTCCTCACAAACATAACACATAATCTTTATATGGTAAGACACATAGTTCAGAGAGCACAAATCATTTTAGTTTAATTGTAATACCATGAGAGTGTGAATAAAATGTTTGGAACTGAAAGAAAATGTATAATTCAGATAGCACAAATCATTAGCCACACTCACCTACTACAACCATTTCATTTCTAGTTATAAAGTGCAGCAAAAGGTAACTCATCCTTAAACACACCCATCTAATACTACAATACTGCTGCAATTAAGCAGCAAATTAGTGAATGTCTAGGAGCAGATATACAAAAATGTAAATTACACCAACATCATCACGCCCAATTAAACAGTCCAGAGGTTGCATAAATTACAATTAAATAGTTCAAATGTAATGTAATCCATGTCCTTTCGATTATGTGCAAGGTTAAATAGATGACAGTGTAGATATGCTAAGTTCAGTACAAAGAAATACTTCCAAACAGAGAACCGATCTAGAGAACTAGCAAGGTACAGAAGCAGTTCTACTGTCGACACACATGCATCCTATTTGAAAGCTAGGAAGGATTAAACAAGTATTTAATTCCAAGCATGTATGAACCGAGCACTAGAATAATTAATTAGAGCTGCAGGCAAACATGTCACAATTACTAGATGATTGGTCGGTGAAGCACAAAAGTAACAATTGACAGTTTGACAACTGAAACTTGTTGCTTACCTGCTCAAACTGATGAATTCACAGCAAGGTGCTTATATTGCACAAGCACTGAATCCATGTCCAGCTGCTGCTCTGAATCCAAAGCATTGCAAACCTGCACCCTGTGGCAAAAGAAAGAAGCCAGGCAAGTTGCCGATTGAAAATGGAATTAGCAAAAGCCTACTGCTGCTTGTGGGGGTATTAACCCCTATACCCTTACGGCTAGGCTTGGCCCGGACCAGGGGGTTTGGCCCACAAGAAGACGACGCGTGGCCCGGTCAATCTGTTCGGAGTCCCGTGCAAGGAATCAAGGCAAATTTGGAGATCAAGCAAGATCCTGGTCGGTTAGAATAGGAATCCTTATTCGGCCATCTATGGCAATTATAACTGGTTAAGATTAGTTTCCAGATCTGTAACCCTGCCCCCTAGATTATATAAGGCGGGGGGACCCCTCTAAAAAACATCTTTCATTGACATACAGCAATACAATCAGACGCAGGACGTAGGTATTACGCCCTCACGGTGGCCGAACCTGAATAAAACCTCGTGTCTGTCTTGCGTCACCATCTTGTTTGTAGCTTGCGCATCTGTCTGCCGATAATCTACTACCTTGGGTATACCCCTGGGTAGACTGCCGACCATATTTCGTCGACACTGCTGAAAATCCAATTAATGTGAACTGCTGCTCCTGCTCTTGGTTCTGTGCGTGCACGGGTTCTGGATGAGCACCGATTGGTGCTTGGAAGCTGAGCACGGCCAACCAGAGGCGAGTGAGCTTCGGCGAGGACTGGACACTGCCGCGCCGAACTACAAACAGAGGGAGGGAGCAGGCTCGGGTTTGCACGAGCACACATAGGTTTTGACAGGTGAAGGCACCAGCGCCTGCGAGCTGCACCTGAGAATTACGAACTAGGACCGAGCGCAAGAAACAGACACGGGCGAGCGCCAAAAATTCGACGGGAACTCGACCAAAACAAAAGGATTCGTCCCCAAACTTTGCACAGGCAATCACCACAGAGTAGGTAAGCTATTCCCAAGAAATCATCGCTCAATTCGTGCTCAAACTCCAGAAAATCCAGATCACGTGCGAGAACTCGAAAAATCCCTAAAAACAAAATCGTGGTGCTCAAGTGAAGGATTTGTTAGGGGATCACCCTAGCCTTGATCACATATGTCCTAGCACCAAAATCCCTCAAGAAGTTTCACCCCAATCATAGCCAAATTCGACGAACCAAAAATCACTAAAAATGCCTCCGAAAATCACACAAAAATAAAAAACTTTAGTTTTGGAGAGGGGAACAAGTGGTGCACGAATTTGATCCTGGGATTAGCTCAAGATGTCGGATTACAAGCCACTTCAGTTTTGGTGGCCGGGGGCAGGGGGCGCCGGCGGCGGCCGGGGACGGGTGTGCCTGTGTGCGTGTGCGGCGCGGGTGGGTGTGCGCGTGTGTGGCTGTGTGCGGCCGGATGCGGGGTATATGAGTGGGGGTTTGCCGAGTATGCCAGATCTGGCACTCGGCAAACCTCTTGTTTGTCGGGTGTCAAAACTGGGGCACTCGGCAAATTCAGTTTTTTTTATTTTTTTTCTTTTTCTTCTTTTCATAACATATTTTTTAAAATTTGTTTCGATGTACTTTGAAAAAACTTTATCCAATTCACTCAATAATATATATTTAATTTTTCTACGAATATTATTCTATTATTTTATGTCGTTATAGCTCAAATTTAATTTATATCGATTAAAATTCTATAATTGCACTTAATAAATTAAAATAATCAAACGGATCCAAAAAATTACTAAATTTTCACATGAAATAATCTATGTTCACTATTGCCTATACAAAAAGTTTTGAAGTCAAACCACAATTTGACCGTCACTTTGACTGCAAATCTTACCGAATCCTTCTCAACGCTACTATTCTTCTTCTAAGATGTTTCGGTTTATAAACATCGTACGTGACAAAACGTGCGAAACCTTATCAATTTTTTACCACAGCCTACACGTATGATATCATCATATCATGACAAATCTCATGATTTTCAAACTTCGTTTGCTTTTTATAAATTTAAAAACCATTCGGCCGCACGTTCGTGGTCGTGTTTCCTGAACGAGATGTTCGAAATCGTAGCATCCGGTTTTAAGAACAAAACCGGATACACATCATATGTGAGCCCAAGAAGTCAAATCTCACATATAGCTACAAATAAGGGTAATATCAATAGACAATGATTAAATACATAACGTATTAGTATAAAGAATATAACCTCAGAGTATAAACAGCGGAAAGACAACTCTGATCTTCAGGCGAAGACTCCAAATCCACAGGGACAACTGACTGGTTGTTCACAAGCCTAATTCCTCCAAACTCTAGCAATCTGGTACCCATCCGAGATTTTTCCAAATATATGTAAAATAAAGCAAGCGTAAGTACATGTCGTACTCAACAAATATAACATGGGGTTCATGAGGCTAAAAAAGCTGATACTGGTTCAACTGCGATTAGCTTTTAATAAGTCATGATTTTAGCAATTGAGTAGTAACAAGTTTAACCACAAGACCATAAACACATGATCAGGTAAACATGAATAATGAATAGCATAAACAGTTAACCATTAGTGAGCATCTTCATCATCCATATCATCAGTGTTCATTATCTATTCCGTAAGGGTTCAAGGCCGCTCGTGACCGTGAGCACGGCTGATATACCAGTTTTACACTCTGCAGAGGTTGTACACTTTTACTGTGAGTCATGATTTACCCTTTCGCCCGAGATGATCAGCCTCTTGACCCACTACCAAGGAAGGTCGGCAGGGTTCACTATGAAGCCTTTTAAAGGCTCGTCTAACAAGTTATGGCCATTAGATTCACTCGGCAAACAGATATAGGAACCCCCTGTCGAATGGCACAATTCCATCACGGCTATACACATAAGAGTAAAGGCTGTCCTATACCCGATTCGGCAAGTCATTCTTACGCCAATAAAGGTAACCACTAACAAGTTAGAAAAGGTCCTTATACTGAGCTAAAGCCAGAGCCACGTAGCCCTCACAGCTGTACTGTAAGTCCCGGATGATCACTTACAGATAAGTCCTTAGGGAGATGAATCTAGAGCACCATGAAAATAGCCCAATGCTCTAGCCTCCTTGTTCCATGTTGCTAAAAAACATCTTTTAATGTTTATTGCATAATCCATTAGTCAAGTTACAAGATCATAGTTGTAGTTGAGCACTAGCATTATACTACCCAATGCAATTCCCCATAGGTATCAAGGCACAAGGTACAAAGTACTAGGAAATCCTTAGTGACAGTTAAGGTAGACACATGCAGCATGAATTAAATGATTAAAGGTATATAAGACAATAAGGAAGATCCCATGCTATACTTGCCTTATACACTTTCTCAAACTTTCTCATACTTTACTTCTGATCATCAACTTCTGATCTCCAACACTCACCGGCAGTTCTCATTCTACTCGTAACAATCATCACGCATAGGCAAACATACAAGCAACAAATAAAAACAACTAAAAACAGTACACCATATAGGAGAAAACAACATACTAAAAGAGAGCTTGTTACTGCAGTCACAAGATCAAAAGAAATATCGAGAGCGGAACTACCGTTAACAAGAAACGACTATGGAGAGTTTTATATTATAAAAGAAAAGAAACAACTACAAGCTCGATTTATTTTAGTTAACAAAATCATGGAAAAGTTATTAGTTCAGATTAGACAAATGATATTTGAACCTAAAACTGAGTTAAAGCTAATCATAGTTTATTTTATAAATGTTCTCACATAATTTAGTAAGCAAGTTATGCTTTATCTTTGCAAAAGAAATAATCATGTGAGAGCATTTAAATGTATTTTATATTACGTCACAGTGTTTAGTCCTAAGCAAATTACCAATTAAGAATATATTTATGTTAGCATTTAATTATATTAACATTTATTTATTTACATATACAAAACCGAAGTGTATCACCTATGTTGTTTTTAGGTTGAAAACTGGTTACGTACCCATTAATCAAATTAATATTTAATTATGAACACATAAACATGTGATAGGATAAGCGTCGCTGACAGGCCATAGATCATAGCGATATGAAACTAACGCAACAAATGAACCGAAACAGAGCTAAAATAAATAAGATGTGAATTGGACAAGTGCAGGAGTGTGGGTTGCCTTGCTTGCTTCTGCATTGCATGACGAGATGTGTTCTCTAGATGATGAGTGTGCTCTTGAAAGGTACAGGTGGCAGAAGATACTTACAGATGCACGCATATGTACTTGGTGAATTTGCTACAGAATCCATGCACGTTGAACAGGAGTCGTGGCTTTGATTTCCTCTCTGGCGGTGAAGAAATTAACGTGCATGAGCTGCTTGCTATCGCGAGGACAGAGGCATGAGCCTGGCTTGGGCATCAGCTGGCAAGGACGCTTGTGCCCGGAGGTGGATGGCCGGCGTGCAGAACAGCAAGCGACGGCGACATGCAGAAACTGATTTCCTTGCAAGCAGACAGATACACCATGATGAAATAAGCGAGTGCAGACTGCAGAGAACACAAAGACCTGATAGAAAAAGGAAAGGTAGCAAAATGAGGCATTCTCACTGGAGGCAGATGTGCGGCAGATGAACAATGGTGACCAACAAGGCTCTGACTGGCGGCCGGCACGACGATTCCAAGCTGGCAACGAACCGGTGCGGAGGAGACGAGAACGCTGACACGGCAGCTTGACGAAGCATCTTCTCAAGAAGGTTTTCTCAGACCTTGGTTTCGGCGTTGCTGAAACATGGTTCACGGTCAGCAATGAGTAGCAGATTGCATGGCCACGGAGCAACGACAGGATGTAGCCACGAGTCGGAGAACGGCAGGGACGGCGGCGGACTTACTTGTTGCCGAGGAGAGTATGGCCGGGCTGGGCAGCGCGGCGACGACGGCGAGAGAAGTAGAGAAAAATCTAATTTACTACACGGCAGTTTTGATGTGCTTTGTTCAAGAGGTTGGTACAGATTTATAGGAAGAAAAACTCCCCATATCTACATCAACTAGTAATATGGTACTAATTGATGTTGCACCCTCCACATTTACTAATGGGCCTAAATAATCATTAAAGCCCATTAGTTAATAAATGCACATGCCTTTGAGATTTACTAGGATTATTGTACATGGGCTTTGAGCGTTGCAAAAAATGAGAGATTTATTATTTTCGGAATTAATTAATTTCATAGATAAAATAATTCTAGAAAAGTCCAGAATTGATATTTAAGCCACGAAAAATGCTCCGAGACCTCCGAAAATTTGAGGAAAATTCCCAGAGACACTTTGGAACATGATGAACCCAAATAAAGTATTTGGAGCTCATAAAAATATTGTTGGGAACTTGGAACATAAAGATTAAGGTAAAGGAGGTAGGAATTAAATTCCAGAAAGAAGCTGGAAAATTCCTAGAGATAGATATTCGTCTCTTAAACGTATAAAACACACACATTTTGCACATAGAAACACGAGGTGCGACCGGCATGAAAGCAACAAACACGTTTCTACCTTATGATAAATTTTAAATTAATAAATTTTTTTATTTTCCTATGTTTTCATGTGCACAAAAAATTCACAAATAAATCATTTTAACTCTATTTTCAAAAGTGGCAAATTTTGGGGTGTTACAGAAATTTCTTTTCATTTCTAAGGAAAGGCCTCACACTGGACTCAATAACATGACTATCATTTTTTTACTTATTTTATTCTATTATTTGAATCACTTGCTGTTCAAATTTGACTTAAACAAAAAAAATTCCTTGAAATACAATTAATTAATTAAATATAGCAAACTGATTAAAAAATATACCAAATTTTAACATGAAGTAGCACATGTTGTATGTGCAGAGTAGAAAAAGTTTTAAGGTCAGCAGAGAAAAAAAAACTTATTTCTTTGCCGAGTGTAAAAAAACACTCGGCAAAGAGCTTGGTTTGCCGAGTGCAAAAAAAAACACTCGATTTTTTTTGCACTCGGCAAACAAGCTCTTTGCCGAGTGTTTTTTTTTTGCACTCGGCAAACCCTATTTTTGTCGAGTGCAATTATTTTGCCGAGTGTTTTTCGCACAGCACTCGACAAAAAGCTTGTTTGCCGAGTGTCCGAAGGATTGCACTCGGCAAACCACCTTGCACTCGGCAAATTGAGTGTTTCCGGTAGTGATCTTGTATACTTGTACCTATATACGTGCTCGATCCTGAAGCCAAACGCAACCAGCTGCATGCTTTCATTCACACAACGACATCGTTAACTTCCACCGATCGTACGTCTAGCTGCTCGATCGATGGATAGCTCAGCCAAGCTGCATGCCCCAGGCAACAATAATCCAGTCACGTACAGGACGTGCAAGCTAGCAACAAAGCCACCCTCATCATAGCAGATAGCACGGACGGATCACTCCTCCGGCCGCACGACGGCCGCCGCGCCTTCGCCTGACGACCTCCTCCGGCCTCCTCGTCTGCCAGACCCTCCCTTACCCACCGCCGCTTCGTCCCCGTTGGTGATCGTCTCCGGCGGCGCGACGTAGACGAAGGGCCCGACAATGCAGTCATCGAGCGCGAGGAGCGGCTCGAGCGCGTCGACGACGGCGGACATGTGGGGGCGGGACTTTGGGTTGAGCGCGACGCACTGGTGCGCGACGGCGGCGGCCTTGTGCGCGGCGCGGCTGGAGTACTGGCCCGCCAGGGCGGGGTCCATGACGCGGTCCAGGCGGCGCGCGTCCGTCAGGTACGGCCGCGCCCACTCCACCAGGCTCTGCTCCCGCGCGGGCCGGCTCTTGTCCACCGCCTTCCGCCCCGACAGCAGCTCCAGCAGCACCACGCCGAAGCCGTACACGTCGCTCTTCGCCGTCAGGTGGCCCGTCATGATGTACTCCGGCGCCGCGTAGCCCTGCGTCCCCATGACTCGCGTCGACACGTGCGTCTCGTCGTCCTCCGGCCCGTCCTTGGCCAGACCGAAATCCGACAGCTTCGCCTTGTAATCCTATTACACACAAAATAACAAAGAGGATTTCAATCAATTCCAAAAGTAATCGAGTGGATGGTACTGTAGCGAATGCACGCAGACGTCAGCTATCTTCCTCGCGTACGTAGAGCAGTTAACACCCAACAACTCCGTTACTAATTGGCGACAGAAACTTTAGAAGAATGAATCATCATCGCTAGTTGTGCAAGCTTTTCCTGCGATAACAAAAGAGAAATCTTTTCTTCGTGGCACGCATGCATGAACATGACAGTTCGATACGGCCGGGAGGCGGGAGCTAGCGTTGCAATGGTTGACATGACCCGTTCTGGTTCACAGGCCTGCCTGATGGAGCCCCAGAAGCTGACGGCAGTGGTGATCTGGTCTGGTGGAGGCCAGGTCAAGATTTTGTTGTTCACCAGTTGGCATTTGGTTTATTGGCGACCTGACGATTTCAGTTTGATTTCAGCGCTGGTTTACTCGCCGCGACTTGCGAGCGAGGATGGATGCAAAACTGCAACTACCCAACCCTTTGGCGGATATTTCACTAGCTCTAGACTCTAGTTTCTGGCGGATATTTCACTACTGGCTCCGGCCATCAAACCGAACCCAACCACAGCTGAGCCTGATCTTTCGAGCGAGAGATAGATATGAAACAGTGAAGAGAGGTAGTAGTATAGTAGGTGGATGTGGATATGTGTGGATGCCGTGTGCTGTTACGGATGCACTAGCTAGCTATAGCTCACCGAGTCCAGCAGGATGTTGGAGGTCTTGAAGTCCCTGTAGATGACCGGCTTCTCGGCTTCATGGAGGAAGGCCAACCCTTTGGCAGCGCCAATGGCGATCTTCAGCCGTGTTGACCATGGCAACGACGCAGCGTATTCTGCAAAGCATACATATCGAGTGGCACGGCTCATCAGCTGAGGTAATTAAATTAATTAGGTTCCAGCTGAATGATGATGCGCAAACATTTGAATAAACTAAAGCTGTCAAAATATAATTTCAGAGTAAAATGCCGACAGCTGGCTGTCAAATGTTCGGAGTATGTCCATTTCCAATACCATCATCCTCTTATTTAGAATGAGGGAAATGAACACCTAATTTCTGGTATATGGTCGAGTTCATGTTCATTGTAGTTCAGACCACGTGCAGTTATTCAGATCTACAAGATATTAAGATGTGACGTACACATACTAGCACAACAAGATTTGCCTAATAGTGAGTTAGTGACTAACTTCCACATCGGTGACCAACTGCTTACAGTGTAACTTCAAAAAAACAACCAGCAGGCACTGTTTGCAAGCATAAATATCACCGGGAAAACTCCAAATAAACAGATGAGTTCTTTCATGAATCCTGTTAGATTTATGTGTTTCAAACGGGTCCTCTGATGAGTCCATGTTAACTTTACCCTATACTAAAATTACTAATATATATAGCAGAACCTAGTGTGATGGACTGACAGTGACCATGCATGGAGACTCCAGTGGAACTTCAATTCCACTCTGTTATGTTAAAGTTAAAGCACGACAAGCATCTTGCTAATTGGCTCTCTCAGTGCCTACAATGATCGAGATGAATCGTGTATATGTAGTAGCACAATTAATTCATCACATCCCTTTTGACTTATACTAATCCAGAATGACAGCTGTATATGCTACCGACTGATTCTAATCACGTACAGGAAAATAGTTTTTTTTTTACTTTGCATATAAAGATTAAAGGGGTGTTTGGTTTTTTAGTCGCTCCTAAAATTCATGTCACATCGAATGCTTAGATACTAATAAAGAGCATTAAATATAGATTAATTACAAAACCAATTACATAGATGGAGGCTAATTTGCGAGACGATTTTTTAAGTCTAATTAATCTGTCATTAGCACATGTTTACTGTAGTACCACGTTGTCAAATCATGGACTAATTAGGTTTAAAAGATTCGTCTAGCACATTAGTCGCAAGTTGTGTAATTAATTTCGTAATTAGTCTATATTTAATACTCAATGCATGTGTCAAACATTCGATGTGATAGGAATTTTAGGAGGCCCTGCCCCCGGAACCAAACTGGCCCTAAAGCTGCGAAAACAAGTAGTACTAGATACGCAACAGGTGGTGCAGGTCTCCGTCCGTCCAACTAGCTCCTGCAGCAGCAGTAGAATCAAGCATGAAAAATCGAGAGCATAACCAAAGGACGATGATGCTGGTGTGAATAATAGCAAAGTGGTTAAGAGAAAATGACCCAGAGGATCAGAATAAGTAGAGATCGAGATGATGTAACAAGACTGCATCAATTGACGCCGCAACGACACGCCCGAAAGGCAGTTTGAATTGAACCATCACTGAGAAAACGGGACGGGAGAAAATGGAAGAGACAAAAACCAAGGGTGTAGAGCACGGAAAGTGCTAGTTGCTGCCGATCCGGCGGCCACAAAATAAATTCGCCGATAAAGCTTTTTATGCGACAAATAAAAACAGGTTGGTGATCGAGAGATCGACCGATCGAGCCGTCCAGTTCGACTGATGTGTGTCTCGAGATCCGAATCTTTCCCTAGCTTAGCGATGCATCGAGGAAAAGGAGGCTGACAACTACGTGCAAGGGATATCCCTTTCTTGTCGCCTGCACCATCGATGTCTGCTGGCTGCTTGCCGCCACAGTGTTTTCTAGCTAGGCTCTAGTATGTTTTATTCTTGCAGGCTCACTTGCAGCCATATGAAAACGACATGCCATGGCATGATGAAAATGAGAAGTTTCTGTAGGAAATGAAACAAAAAAAAGGAAAATGGAAAGATCAGGCTACGTGTGTGCTTACTTTTGAAGAGATGCTTCTCCAGGCTGACCCTGGTCATGAACTCGTAGACGAGCAGCCTGTGCTCGTCCTCGTAGCAGTAGCCGATCAGCTTCACCAGGTGAGGGTGCCTCAGTTGCCCCAGGAAGAACACTTCCGTCTGCATGCATGCATGGTTTTGACATACATAAATCATGGCTCTGTCAGTTTAACTACTGTAAATATCTCTCATTATATTACTCTGCTGCTTTGCTTCATCACCTGAGGAACCAATAAGCCTTTAATTTAATAATTGAACTAAAGTAAACACTGTTCCATTGAATCCTCTCATGCTAGCAGCTGGCAAGCATACCGAGCCACTGAGGAAAGCTTTCGAAGATAAGTTCAGTACGTGGAATAATTCAAGCCATGGAACTTCTACTTGTAATAAAAGACAACTTGCTTGTTTGAACGAATATTGACAAATATACAAGTAATTAAAAACTAAACGGAAGCACGTACGAAGCCATAATATTTGAGAATAAATAAAAGAAATGTGCAGATCGAGATGATTCCCTTTTGTTTTGGGGTCAAAAGGTGCACTTTTTACTTCGACCTATTAGTTTTTTTTTTAATAAATCTCTTAACAAGACGTGGAACTTTTTACTACTTACTACTAGCTCTAAAAATTTCTAATAATACTATATATCACTGCCAATATATCAACAAGAATAGGATATATGTTTGGTTGTGAATATTTGGCATTAATATTCAGAATCTCTAATAAGCAGCTTCATGTATTTTTGGATTGGAGAGAGTAATACTAGACCTTGCGAGGCACACGTACTGTGAAAATTCCGAGCTAACTGACTGACTCAAGATATGTGACCATAGAGTTCAGACTTCGAGCAGCTCAACTAACTTGGAACAAGCAAAGTCTATTGAGCTAATTAAAGCAGGAGAAATTGTGCTGATAGACGCTACTAAACCCCATGTGTGCACAACATCGCTGACACTATTCCATTACAGATCAGTGAATTCCTCCTCCTCACTTAAATCCGCCGTACTATATATTAATTCCTATCTATCTATAAGTAATGATAAAATTGTTTAGTACTGCATGCGTTGCGTCGATTAATACTCCTACGTATTAACCAGGTCGATCAATCGTTCGTATATAAGCAAGCAATCCAGCAATTAGCTAGCGTACCAGCCATTCGGTGTGGCCTTGTCCGCCCTCGAGGTCGAGCAGCTTGACGGCGACGGACTGCGCGGCGAGTCCCGGCTTGGTCTTGTCGTCGACGTAGCCCTTGTAGACGGGGCCGAACCCGCCCTCACCGATGAAGTTTGTCATGGAGAAGTCCCGGGTGACGGCGCGCAGCTCGGCGATGGTGAAGACGTGGAGGTTGGAGCCGACGAGCGACAGCGACAGGTCCTCGGGCGACACCATCCCGCTCAGGCTCAGCTCCGTGAACGACATCCGGCTCTGCAGCGACCGCGGCCTGCCGCTGCCGCTGCTACCTGCCGCGGCAGCCACCTTCTGCTGCTTGCTCTTCTTCTTCTTCCCGCCGCCGCCCTTGGCCTTCTTCCTCCTGCCGTGGGAGCTGCTGCCGAAGCAGCCGAACAGCGAGCCCCACCCCAGCCTCGCACCAGCGGCCGGTTTATAGCCTCCCATCAGCGGCTTTGGCTGGACGCATCGGGGTATATATACGCTGGCTCTTGCTTGTGGGGTGGGTTAATTACGCTGAATCTTCCAGGGGGGAGGAGTGGTTGCGGCCTGCGGGCGATTAAGGCCCCGTTTACATCCAAAAATTTTTAGATTTTGGCTCACTGTAGCATTTCGTTTGTATTTGATAATTAGTGTCTAATTATGGACTAATTAGGTTCAAAAGTTTTGTCTCGTGATTTCTCATCCAACTGTGTAATTAGTTTTTTTTTATCTACATTTAGTACTTCATACATATGCCGCAAGATTCGATGTGACGAATACTGCGCAAAATTTTTTGGAATCTAAACAGTCCCTAAAGTGGCTGGCCGGCGTGTGTGCCTGATCAGCGGCGGGCGGCGGCCCGGGGTGTGGTTTGGTAGGGAGACTGAGCATCTGCATCAGACTTGCCAGGAAAGACCCTCCCGCTTTGCATGGGCCATAGTAGCCCGGGGAGTGGGAGTGTGCTTCAGAATACTCTGCAACGCAAGCTCTGCCTACCAAGGACACGTAACTTACGGTGTACATGCAGCGCAAGGTGACACTTCAAACAGCAAGAGGGATTCAGCAAATCTGTCGTGCCATGTAGAGTGTACTATTTCATGCACGCGCGCGCTACATGGTGCCAGCTGGGCCACGTATATCACATGTATCCTCTGTTATATCAGCCTCCAATTTGCATGCATGCATTTATATGTTTGTGTGGCCATGGGATTTGTGGAGGGATCCGATCGGCAATCCGGTTCATATGTGTTGCTTCTCTTCATCATACAACAGTATATACACTACCTTTGGACTATTTGGTGGATCACATCTTAAACATTTTTTTTAACTGGGTGCACGTCCGCGTGTAGTATCTATTTTGATTCAACAGTCACATGATGCACGCAACGTCTTCCCTTAACAAAATAGAAATGCTATACGACACGACACACATGTGTTTTAGAAAAAAAAAACACACGAATTTTTTCTCTCTGTCTCCCTCCGTTCTATTGCTCTGATCCTGCCTGCTCCGCAACGCACGCACGCGTCTGCTTGCCCGCACCGTGCCGCTGGCTGGACGAAGATGAAGCACGCAGGTCTCTCCTCTTCCTCCTCTGCCATATGTGATTTGTCTTTCCATAGAAAAAAGTAATTTGTCTTTTCATAGAAAAAAAATGTTTCTTATGATCTGTGGATCTGTGATCCTATGATTTGTGATTGTCTAGAGGTAGAAGAAGGCTGGAGGCTAGAGGTAGAAGGAGAGTGGAGGCTATTGAATCTTAATTCTATGGTGCAAAAAAATCATATGTTGAAATTGTATAAAATACATGGTTGTTGGTTAGACAGACTCTAACAAAAACCCCAGCAGGTCCAAAGATTGGACTAATGGCAGATGATGTTAGTAACAGTGCAAATTAAAGTCAAACAGAGTCTCATGCATGTAAATTAATGCACTTCCTCCGTCCCGGCCAAACTATAAGACGCTTTGGGTCTTTTAGATGCATAGCTTATTTGTGTTATACGGTAAGGCTATTCTGCAGCTGGCCATAAAATAAGTTATTCTGTAGTCATCCCTATTTACGATAATTTTATATACTAATTTATAATAAAGTGAATACATATTTACGATAGTTGTGTTACTGTAACACATGAGGATATTTATCATAACGTTATAGTAAATCACATACTAAGGAGTTACTATAATCTCGTGAATTAGCATAGTGTCGGTGTTTCGGACCGGGGGTCCTCAACCAACTAGTAAATGTGAACGGTTTGCCCCTAATCCCGGATAGTGATGCAAAGAGATACAAGGTTTATACTGATTCAGGCAATTAGTGCCATACGTCCAGTCTGAGAGATCGATCTTGTATTCCTTACACCGAAGTGCTTGTAGTAGGGGGTTACAAGCTGGGTGAGAGAGGGAGCTAGTCCCAGGTCTCGACGTGGAACGGTGCGGGCTGCTTGAGACGTTGCTCTCAGGCAACTTGGGAGAGCGTGTGTCTACGTGAGTCTATCTCCGTGAGTTCGTGAGTCCCCCCCTTAAGAACGGCCCCGGTCTCCCCTTTTATAGTTGAAGGAGGGACAGGGGTGATACATGTGTTCGCCATGTGGCGAGCGGAGGTGGCGTGCTGGAGTCCTGTAGCTTACTACTGTAGCGGCATGGTCAATGGAGTGGTCTTGTCCTTGATGTACTGGAGCAATGCGCCGGTCACACCCGATTTCGTATGACGTGGGCGCTCTAGTGACAGCCTGACGTAGGGTATGGCCGACGGTGTGCTGGTCGCTATGGGTTGACGGTGAAAAGAGCCGAGGCTCAGTTGGTGCCGAGGCCGAGCCATCGTGGGGGGCTCGGTGGGCCCAAATCCGAGGTCTGCTTGAGACACGGAAGTGGATTGCCGAGGCCTTGGAGGGAGCAGTTGGTCTCGTGCACCGATTCCGAGGCTCAGATGACCCGCGGCTCGCTTCCCCACGCCGTCTTTGCTCCTAGAGCAGGAATTAGGTAGCACTGATGTAATCTACAGCGCCGAGCATGGGTGCGATCTTTTGCACCAGGGATGGTGATAACCCTGTTTCGTCACTCTCACCCCGCTTGACCATCTGTTGTCTGCGCATACGTCTGGTGGCGTCGTGGGAGTGGTTGGACGCGTGACGTTTTGTCAGAGAAGTCGGTCGAGGCGGAGGCGACGAGGTTGTTGCCGAGCCGGCCTCGAGCGAGTCGGAGAATCGGTACTTCGTCCGAGGCTTCACTCGCGGGGCCTCGGGCGAATCGGAGAATCGGTAACCCGTCCGAGGCCTTGTGGAGCGAGGCCTCGGCACGAGAGGGCCTCGGCGAGGGGGCCTCGGCGAGGCGGAGAGTCGTTGCGACGCGGGCTTCGGGCGAGTCGGAGAATCGGCCGAGATCCTGTGATTGTCCTTTGGCTTTGATATTTGCGAGGTTTTTAGCAATTTTTTCGGTTCTTGCTTAGGGTACCCCTTTTTATGGTATCCGACACATAGTAATTATCGTAACTCAAAGTGGCCACAGAATAAGTTATTTTATAGCCAGCTGCAGAACTGTGTGTGTGTGTATATATATATATATAGTGTGTGTGTGTGTATATATATATATATATATATATATATATATTACCCTGGGTGCTGAATAATAATCAGTACCCTAGCCCGCCCGACGCACCCGCTCCGACCCCGAGCCACCCAATCGGTATAATAATCTAAGCTTGAGTATGGTTTTTTTTCTAAAAATTATATGTATATGAACTGATGTCTTGACACAGAATTAGAGAACAAATTAACATACATGTATTTCAAATTTTGCTTGCCCAAATTTTGTGGCCAACCGTAGTTGAAGTGCTCGCTTCACTTCCAAGCCAATGGGTACTCAACATTATTTTTCACTGATTCAAGATGTTTCCTTGCAAGTCACGTCTTATGAATCTTTTAGCTTTTTGGTTTATACTGACTCTGCGTGTATTTTATTGTTCTTGATCCAGAGGCTAGAGAAGATTTCTGTGCTGACAATTGCTAATTTGCTACATATTTTTTTTCAGAACTAAACCTGAGGTGCCACTTGAATAATACTTGCAAATTCAAAGCTATTTTTCCTTGCAACTATCTATCATATTCCACTGAGTCAGATTAGCAGCTTATTTACATGCAAATTATGCCTTTGTCTTAATCTTGCCTAGCATTTTAGTATCTCCCATTGAGCTTTCTGTATACCCAAATTAAATGTGCTCATGTATCTGACTTTTAAATTTGAGTATATTTCAATGAACATATATGTTGTAACATAACCTGTGTTTCCTCTTGGCCAGTCATACAAATTTGGTGGGAAAATAGACAACATAGCGGTTGGTAGGATGATGGAGGAAATCGGTCAGGACTCAACAGGGCGGAGGACCGAATGAAGCAGGGAAGTGTAGCGGAGGACATGCAGCAGCCCTCCCTCAACTAACAGTCGGTCACGCGAGCAGGCGACATGGTATAGTGAAGTGCGGGACACAAAGGTGGATGCTAGTGACATAGGAGTTAAGGAATTAAATTTCTCAAGGAACTAGAATCCACTCTGCGACTTACCACTGAGAGTTATTCATCTGTCCGGCTCCCTCGTCCAGAGGTGTCCTCGACATGATCAAGCTGTGGAGTTTTTTATTTATTTATTTTTTATATGAATCAAGCTGTGGAATTCATAAAGCATCTCCTTTCTTGCCTCTTTGCTATAGATTTTTTGTTCAAGTTGTCCCAAAGTGTAGGCCTACAGATTCTTTGTAACTATGATAGACGAAATAGTACTATTTTTGATTTGCAGCATAGACTATTATTGTTGACAAGATATGTTTGTATTGATCAAATTGAAATACTATTTATAGTTTACATAATGAATTGTTATTTTTGACAAGTAATTCATTATAGGGAACCTGGTATATAGCAATAAAATATGGCCAAATATATGCATCCCTGGAGGCCTAGCGAAAAGAATGATAACAAAAAAAAAATCGGCCAGAAACAAAAAGAAATTGATCGGAAATAGAAAAAAATTGCCGTAACCAGCGCGAGAGGGCAATAGACGCGAAAGAAAAAAATCGGCCATAAACTCAGAAAAAAATTGGCTGAAAAAAACAGGCAAAAAAAAAAGACGGAAGCAAATAAAAACCGGTCGGAAAGCGAGCATGAAGGAAAAAAAAAAATCGACTAGCGCCCTCCTATCTGCTGTGAACGTGGGCAGCAGGATGGCCTCGGTTACTAAATAATATTTAGTATCCTGGGTGTTAATTAGCGCAGTCATATATATATATATATATATATATATATATATATATATATATATATATATATATATATATATATATATATATATATAGAGAGAGAGAGAGAGAGAGAGAGAGAGAGAGAGAGAGAGAGACACTATGTTTAGCAGTTCATTCTTTTCTATTCAGAACATCAAATAATGGAAAAGGAAAAACAATTCAAACACATGTGTATATGCA